TTTATTAATCATGTCTTGCACCATGAGCACTATCTTTGCTGTTATCTGAGTAATTATTTCTGATTTCATTTTTCTGATATCCTCTTTGTTGCCAGTTCAGAGAGTCCAAGTGGTTGAATATCAGATTGTTCCATTTCCTTTCCCTTTGGGGTTGCTGTTGGTGATCCAGAAGTCTGTTTTTGAGGCTTGTTTATGTGTCTTCTCATTTCCACGGTGGGGGCTGGGGTGCTTCTGGTGCCCGTGCGGCTCACCTTCTTTGCCTTAGGAACTTGGGAAGGTGGCAGGGGTGCTTCCTTCCAGGTGCTGGACCAGCTCAGCTTCTGTGCCCTAGGAGCATGGGATGGCGGTGGGGGAGCTTCTTTCCGGGTGCTGGGACCGGCTGAGCGTCTCTGCCCTAGGAGTTTGGGCTGGCGGCGGGGGAGCTTCCTTCCGGGTGCTGGGACCAGCTCACCTTCTCTCAAAAACTTGCTTTTCTGAAATGCATTTACTCTGTAGGTATTAACGCTATATTTTATTAGAAAATGGAATATGAAACCAAATAGAGATGGTGTTTACCATTAAGATGTTGAAGTCAAAGATTGATAAACAGAGCTTTCCTCTGCTAGGTATAGCTGAGGATACATAAACAGACAGTACTAGATCCATAGTGAGGGAGGGTGGGAGGAAGTATCAGAGAAGACAACCTGCAAGGGGCATTGTGGTGGCAGTAGGAGTTTTGCTGCACTGCAGGTGCTGGAAAGACATTCCAAGCAGGTGCACCCACAGGTAACAGTGAATAGAAATGGATATCATGAAAGTTACTGGAGCATGAAAAGTGAGCAGAGGAAGAACGAATCAGGAGGTTTAGATAACTCCTAGGATCTAAAGAGCATTTCTGAAAAGCATGGATAATTCTGACCGATACATATTTTATCTTTCTGTCACTTTTTCCTTCTTAGTAGGAAGTACATGTTCATATAAAATAAGGTGAAATCTAAATGATTTTTATTTTCAATGATTTTATATCTATTCCGGATCATCCCTTTCAGTGAGCAGTTGTCTTTTGAAATCTCTGAGGATTTTATGTAAATAAAGCAGGAAATACATATCAGTAGCCTGGATATGTAATTGGAACCCAGGGAACATATGGCTGTTTTCATTAAGTATATAAGAGGAGGCGTGATTACTGAATATTTTTTCTGAAAATTTTCCTTAGTGAAATCTTTTGAACACTTGAATACTTGCAAAAGAAATATGGAATTGAGTCATTCTTTTATTTTTAATGCTAGTTCAAATGCAAAAAATGCTAAGAAAAGTCATGAACTATTTCAATATCCATACATTTTGAAGATACTTCAATAAAGACGGTTAATATTTTAACATTTAATGGACTGAAGTCCATAGGTTCACAGACAGCTTTAAGCCATTATGATCAGGAATACTGTAATTCGGGAAAAACTTCAGTAGGCATTGAATGAAAATAAATGCTTCATATAAATGAAAAATATCACAGGAGAGAAGGATGTTAATTGAAATATTAAGAATAAAATCCTGAAAAATGCTTTATTCGTTTTGTCTGTTTTGAAAGAAATATACTGTGAAGGCAATACATTTGTATTTCTGAAAAATTTCAAGAGGTAAATTGTTTCCCTTTATATTTTCACTTTTCTTTAGCAAAAACACTACAACACTTAGTCTGTCTTGGGAGTGATTCACACATGGTTTGCTTTAAACTCAAATTCACCAGAAATAAAGAAACCTTTGTACAGATATTATGGAAAACAGTATGGAGGTTCCTCAAAAAACTAAAAATTGAGCTACCAAGTGATTGAGAAATTTCTATATGGGTATATATCTAAGGTAGTGATGGTGAACCTTTTTAGAGACTGAGTGCCCAAACTGCAACCCCAAACCCACTTATTTATCACCAAGTGCCAGCACTGCCCCTGTGTGTGCTGTTTTCTGATGTTCAGTTGCCTGGCCTTCCTGGGCCAGCTTGAGTCACGTGCTGACAGAGAGTGCTGTGTGTGCCTGCTGCAGCACATGTGCCTGTGCCGGCCCTGATCTAAGAGAACTGACATCAGTATGATGAAATAATCTTCAGTTCTATGTTCATTGTAGCACTGTTAACAACAGCCAAGATATGAAACAAATTCTTCAGCCTTCAGAAAGAAGAAAAATTCTATCTATTGCAACAGTGTAGATGAGTTTGTAGGATATTATGCTCAGTGAGGTAAACCAGCAGATAGGGAAAATACTACGTGTACTCCATGGACATGGGATTTTAAAAAGGCCAACTTGATGAAGTAGGAGAGTGATGCTCACCAGAGACTGAAGTTGGAGAGAAGGCATGAGGAATGGGCAGAGACTGTTTTTAAGGGTCAAAGTTTCAATTGAACAGGAGGAATGTATTTCAGGATCTAGTGCATAGCATGGTGAAGAGTCAATTATAATGTATTGTATGCTTCAAAATTGCTGATAAGAGTACATTTCTATGTGCTCACCACAAGGAAAGGGTAATCTTTGAGGTGATAGATATGTTAGCCTGATTTAATTATTCCCTCATAATAACCATATAATAAAATATAATGCTATACTGTACAAAGATATTCAATTATTAGTTTTAAATTAGAAGAAAGTCAATTAAGATAACCAAAATTCAGTGATGACAATGAAGAATCAATAAGTCTTGAAATGAAAATCTCTCAGATTTTATGTTGTTTGAAGCAAAATATTAAATATTTTTGAAAGCATCTGAAGGAAAATATTCTCAATTTTTTTCATATGCTTCACCAAGGTAATGAAAGTATTTGATTAATTCTCATGTCTGTAAAGATAAAATGGAAATTTTGTAATTTTATGTATTTGATAGTGTCTAGCAGGTAAATTTTGTCCCAAGAATCAACCAAATGAAACTGACTCTGATTTGTACTGACAAAGGGGGAGTGGGTATTTCAGGTAAGGTATTAAGTGGAATTTAAAAACAAGCATTCCTTTACTTTCTCTTTGGGGCTGGGGATTTAGCTCAGTGGTTCTGGCACTTGCCTCGCCAGTGCAAGGTCCTGAGTTTGATCCCCGGTACCAAAAAAAAAAAAAAATAAAAATAAAAAAATAAAAAAAGCACGCTAAAATAGCAACCAAAGTATGGTACATTGCAAAAGTCAGTGAAAAATAGCAGCAAGCAGAACAGTGAGTTTGGCTGCACAATTCTGAATTCCTGTGGTAAAAGCAGGGCTGGGCTTTTTGTAAGCCACAGTCTTCCCTCTCACTCCAGTGAGGGCAGCATGTACTACGTGAATTATGAGCCAGCCTGGTGGTTGGGAAGGCTTAATTGCTTATTCTGGCTTTACTATTAGTAGTTGGAAATTAGTAGTTAGTTGGGTGTCACTAGGCAAGTTATCTTTGCTTTTGCTATAAAATATTCATAGTAATGTTGCATCCTTCTGGAGTTACAACCAGTGAAAGAGAATCTTTGGGAAAGTCCTTGGTGGATCATAGTTGATGAACTATAGCTGCTGTCTTCTTCCTCTGTTCACCTCCTGTTTCATCAGCACCCTAGAGCCTGATAATGATGAGGTTCATAGATTGTTTCTGACTCTCTCAGTATGAATTCTCACTTTTTTTTTTTTTTTTAGTACTGGGGATCAAACTCAGGTCCTTGCACTTGCATAGCAGGCGGTGAAACCACTGAGCTAAGTCCCCAGCATGAATTCTCACTTTCCTCAGGATTTAAGTCTTGTATTCAATTCCTAGCTATGGCTCCCTCCTAAGATTAGCCTGTTTATAACTCTGCTCTCCACCCTTTGTGATTTAATTTCTTCCACCAGTGGCCTAATTATCTTTAAACCTCTGAAATCAGTGGCTAAGTCAAAGAATTTGCCCCAATTGATTTTTCATTGAATGAAGATGTTTGAGCCTGGCCACACCATTGTGTAGTCTGTGATTCTGTTAATCTTATGTTGATAGTTGTTGAGTTTTGTGGTTTAAAACATGCCTGCATCTGGTGGTCTCCAACAGGAGCAATGATGAGCATTCTCATGATCATAGCTGTTACATACCTGCTATTTATCGAAGTAGATAAACATAAAAGGTTAAGATAAAACAACTTGAAATTATAGAATCACTTGGGAGCAATAAGTCTGGGTCTTAAATAATGATCTTGTGTCTTCCCATCTAACATTCTTGATTAAATTTTTTTTGTAATCTGGAAATTTTTGTATAAGATTTTATGCAAATTGTTGGATCATTTCCTTATTTACAAATTGAAAAAAATTCTTGTTTCAGAATTTTATTATTTATTATTTTAGTATAAATCCTATGCCATGTGTTAAAAAAGTAATATTTTGTTTCACCAGATCTTACTTCTAATTAAATTCTATTGACGTGTTCTTTTTCTTTTAACTTTTCTTAGGCTGCTAAATTGGCTATCACACTGCAAGCCTTGGAGTCCCAATGGGGGACTCGGGATCAAGACGCTCTACCCTGGTCTCTCGGTTGCCAATATTTAGAAGAAGTATTAGCAGAAAACATGACTCCCTTCCTTCCTCACCCTCTTCCAGTAATACAGTTGGTGTCCATAGTTCCTCTCCTTCCAGCACCAACTCAAGCTCAGGTAGTACAGGGAAACGCAGGAGTATATTCCGCACTCCTTCCATCAGCTTCCACCATAAGAAGGGAAGTGAAGCTAAGCAAGAGCCTCCCAACCAGAACCTTAGTATTTCAAATGGTGCTCAGCCTGGTCACAGCAATATACAGAAACTGACTTTGGAAGAACATATTAAAACCAGGGGAAGACATTCTGTGAGTTTTAGTAGTTCACGAAATAAGAAGATTACAAGATCATTGACAGAGGATTTTGAAAGGGAAAAGGAGCACTCAACTAATAAGAATGTCTTTATAAATTGTCTAAGCTCTGGCAGAAGTGAGGGAGATGATTCTGGATTCATGGAAGAACAGACTCGCCATTCTGTTAAGCAGACAACAAGGAAGCTACTCCCTAAATCTTTTTCTTCTCACTATAAATTTTCTAAGCCAGTTCCCCAGAGCCAGTCCATTTCATTGGTACAACAGTCTGAATTCTCCCTGGAAATTACACAGTACCAAGAAAGAGAACCTGTATTTGTAAGAGCTTCTCCATCTTGTTCTGTGGATGCAACTGAACGGGCAGGAAGCTCTCTACAATCTCCTTTACTTTCCGCTGATCTTACCACAGCTCAGACACCTTCAGAATTTTTGGCCTTGACTGAAGATTCTGTTTCTGAAGCAGATGCATTTCCTAAAAGTGGAAGTATGGCATCCCACTGTGATAACTTTGGCCACAATGATTCTACCTCTCAGATCTCTCCCAATCCTGCTGCTCTTACAAAAATGAAGATTGAACTTACAGGAGTTATTCCCTGTACAATTATGTCTCCTGGGAAATACAGGTTAGAAGGCCAATGTAGCACTGACTCTAATTCCTTCTTGGAAACCTCTGCTGCTAATCAGAAGGAAGTGTTACGGCAAATCACTGAGCTACCTGTTAAGAATGTGAGCAACTCAGAGACTCCCCTGCCAACAGATATTCAAACAGAAGACAACACGGTGTCACAAAATGGTAACACAGCGCTGAGGACAAGCTCCCCAAGGAAACTTGGCTGGTACGAGCAACATAAAGCAGTAGCTGAACGTATGAAAGGGATGCATCCTGTTTCAGATTCAAGGATAATACCTTCTTCCGGTGATCATCATTTTTTTAACAAAGCGTCATATGGGTATGAAGGAAATGCTGCCAAAGGTATGCTGATTTTTCTTTGTGTAATAATTGTTTATTAATTTTCATTATAATTTATTCAGTTTTTTACTCTGTTTCATGAATGGGAATCATGCATTCTTTATTTTTCATTCTCTGCAGTCTATCCTGTTTATAATTTGTTTTAAATATTTCCCTTGCTTGATTTTAAGCTTACCTCAATTATATTGTATTTGAATATAACCAGGCAATAGAGTTCATTTTTATTAATTGAGTTAATCAGATTCTGATCTCAGAAGAAGGTGGAAAAAAACCTCATTTTATTTGCAGTGTGGCTTTATCTAAAATAAAGACTTTTTTGCATTTCATTATAGAAGTATTGATATTTGTTTGTTAATGAAATGAATATGTTCCAGTCAAAATCATTACAAAAGAGATTTGCGTAATTTAAATTCTATTTCCTGTGTTAACAAAGCTTTCACTCTTAACTAGGATCCATGTTTTGGCACAAATTAATGCAATCTCTAAATATAGAAGAATTGCAACCTTTACAAATACTGTCCTAGTGTTAGGAGGTGAGGAGTCTTATCTAGCTTCTTGCTGTCCTAAACAAAGAATCGGCTACTCAAAAGTAGCCCTAAGATCAAAGGTTTATTTGAAAGAGAAAGGAAATGATACCCTCTACAGGGTGAGAGTGGTCCAGTGGGAAGAGCTCACAGCTGGAAGAAGCTTGGCCCTGAGGTTTGAAGCCTTAGAGTTTGGGATGGGTCTGAAGGGTTGGTTTGAGGTCTAACCCCTGTCAGGGAGCAGCTTGACTGGCCCTTCTGTGAGGAAGTAGAGTTTTTGGCATTTTATGGCCGTTGGACGAACTGCAGTGGCTCTGAAGCCCAAAGGCTTGGGGGTGTGGGGATGTAGGGCTCAGCAGGGTGTTGCCAAATTTGCATAATCAATGCCATGGTGGTGATTAGGGTTGAGGTCTGCTAAGGGTTGCAGAAGACCACTGCCTGCATCCCTGGGGATTTATTTTGTATAAGTGAAGTTACCTGTTACCTCTTCCCCTTCTATGTGGACCTGAGCACCCTGGTCCTGGGCTAATGTCTATCTCAGAAGGTGGATCTAGTCCTAGAAATCGGGCTCCACCGTGTGCTGTCCCTTCTTTCCCTAGCCATTTCTTGGTTACCTTATGTCTCAGATCTAGCCCAGAGTTGGGCCCTAAGGTGGTCCTCCCTTCTCTCTCCTGCCTCACTGGCACCAGGAAGATTGAGATAGGAAGATCACCAAGTTTATTCCTAATTTGTGCAATTTGTAAAGATTTTGTCTAAAACAAAAAAAAGTATTGGGGATGTAACTCATTGTAAAGGCCCTAGCTCACTCCCCAGCACCAGGAAATTAAAAAAAGAAAAAAAAGAAAATGTACAGTCCTTGGAGCCTGGAGACCCAGCCTTATCCAACCCTATCTGTAACATTAACCAGCTGTGTAACCTTGAGCATATTTTCTTTGGTTTAAATGCAAGAGTGTTTGTATATGAATTACTTCAGTTTGCTCCAGAAAACTATTATTTAACATAAAATTCAGTTCAAGAAAATTGTTGAATATATTCAACCTACTTTTAGATATCACTTTTTATTCCATTTTCTCTATTATGTTTATTATCATTGCTGCTATTACTAATTTTCTCAATGTCAAAAATGACTATGTCCCAGATACCAGTTTGTGTACTTTGTATGTGTTAACTAGTAAATGATTGAAATTGCTACTGTTGTTATAAGCTATTTTATAGGAAAGAAAATTGGAGGACAGATAATTTATATGTCCTGTCACAGAGTTAATAAGTGATTGATTGGATATGAATGCTGTGAGGTAAACTTGTATGTTTCCTATTTTACAAAATGAAAATGGGGGCCAAGGGGTCATATAGCTGATGAGTAGCACAGCCAAGTTATAACTTTCAGAACCCAAAGTGCAGCCTCTAAACAACTGTATTTATGACCTAAAATAATAAACTTTAAGTCACACGATAAATTATGATATCAAGAATCATGAAATTTTATGATTTCACTAGTCTTTCCATGAACATAGTAATTTTTCAGTTCTGAATAAATAAGCTACTTTTATAGCTGTCTTAAAATATTTTGTATATTTGATACAGCATCACTTTTCTCTATTTTTTCTTTTTTTTTTTTTGAAGTTGGTAGTCTTGTCTATATTTTTAGGTTAAGTTAAGCTTGCTTACTTTCTTGAGGGTTTGTTTGGAGGTTCTAACGTGTAGCACAGCTACTCTATAACCTTAGCCAGAGAAAGGAAGTCCTCTACAGGAGAAAGTTTTCTTCCTTGACCCTGGGGTAAGGTCATCCTCTGGCCCAGTGTAGAGCTTCTGCAGGGACACATATGGACCGGGACTGAGGAAGGGACACCATTAGCGAACACTGGGCCTCAGATTAGAATCCAGGTGGTTTTAAGAAAATATGGCCTGCAATTACCGTCTGATCTGATCTTTTACACGTGGTATCCAGGTACGCCCTGTACCCCATAAATAGACACAATCGCTTCATGTTAAAGATGAAAATTTTATTTTAGTGGAAACAAAAAGAAAAGAAAAGAAAGAAATGGCCCAAGAAAGGGTAGAAATGTCATTACCCTGATACATCGTTCTTATTTTGCAATGATGACCCACCTCAGTATCTAATTGAATATCATTTTTATCTCTGGAAACTAGGGACTATTCAACAATTATGATAATGATTATGAATCTGATGTTTCTTAATACTTATTTTTAAATTTTTGTGAAAAATATTTAATCTGATAATTAACACACCCCTGGATATTTGAGGTGCACTTATGTCACAATCATGATATTTAACTTTTATTCATTTGTTTAAAACATTTTTATAAACAACTACTCTACATTCGCTTAATAGATTCTGCTCCAAAATCTTTAAACCAGTAAATGAGCCTAAATAGAATAGTCCGTCCATCCACCTATCCATCCATCCATCCATCCATCCATCCAACAAGTACAGTTTTAGCGCTGTTTTTAGCATTTGTGATATAGCAAAATCTGGCATAAATCCCTGCCTTTGTGAAGCTTACTTTCCACTGGGGATTCTCAGACAGTACAAACAAGTAAATGTCAGATGGTGCTAACTGCTGAGGACAAATTTGAAGCAGAATAAAGAATGAGGTGCCACCTTGCTCATCATACTTAAAGCTGCAGCCTGCAGTCTCACATTATACATCCTAATTCTTTACTCTGCTTTAAGATAACATGTTAGCACAAATTTGAAGGACTGCAGGGAGTAACCGTGCTGATATTTGAAGGTACTGTCTCAGTGCAAAGATCCTGGGTCACAGTGTCACGGAAACAACAGGAAGCTGGTGTGACATAAGGAGATTAAAGGGCAGGAGGGGTCAGAACAGGACTCAGAAAGATGAACAAGGTGGGTCCCTATGGGGACAGACAGCAGGTCACCTTCTGAGGAACCTGCTTGGCCACTGGAAAGATGCTGGCTGTGGGGCACTGGCACAGTGATGGGAACAGAGCTCCCTGTGTGTGTTTGTAGCATTCTGTAGGTAGTAGTGTGGTGGGAATGCAGAAACACTGAAGGGAGCAGGCAGAGGAGCAGGATTTTACAGAGCACTGCAATATCCAATCCAGGAACTCAGGGAAGGAGGTAGTGAGAAGTGATCAGATTCTGCATAAAAGTGGAAGAAAATACAGACAAAATTTGTTTATCTGACTCATGACAGTTAGGAGGAAGCCAAGGAAGACCCCAAAAGTTTTTGGCTTTAAGGAGATTATACAATGAAGCAAACAAAACTGCCACTGTGCATTTCAGTTTCCCTGTGATTGAGAATTTTTGAATGACAGTAAGTTTTCCATTCTCTTTCAGTGGAACATTTCTAAAACTTCCCTTAGCTATTTATATTAATTTTAATTTTCGAATAGTTCTTGCCAGCAGCCTCAGCCCATACCGTGAAGGAAGATTTATAGAGAGGCGCCTGAGATCTTCCTCAGAAGGAACTGCAGGGAGTAGCAGAATGATTGGGAAACCAAAGGACGGAAACGTGGGAGAAGTAAATAGTTTAAGAAAGCAAAGAGCAGGTTCCTCCTCATCCAAAATGAACAGTATGGTAAGTACATATGTTTTGAAATAATAAAATAATATGGTGTATCTGGCATGTTCATGCCTCTTGCAAGAGGAATGCAGACTGAAGAATAGTTGTTATTTGAAGGGAAGTTGGTCTCTTCAGTTGATGTCTCAAATCAAAGACGTGAATTTTTTACTTGAGATTCTTACAGGACAGGACAGATGGAGGCACAACATGAGCCACCCTTAGTTCCCTTCTTCCTGCTTCCATAGGTTGTCCATTTTAGGACAAGGCTGTAGAATACACAAGGTAAGAAAACCAGTGATTGTGGGGGACACCCTTGGGCACCATCATCTGTTCACCCCACAAACCACTCTGAAAAAGTCCTTTTGTAAAGTATACTTATGCCAGGACCACCTGTAGGCCCCTCGGTGCTCCCTACTCTGCTGCTCCCCCAGTGCCCACCATCCAGGGTGACGCTGGGTGTGGAGGCTGTCGGGCCATTGCAGAATGCCCATCTGAAGTGTGAACACATGGAGATAGTGGATTCCTGAGCTTGCCCCTGTGGGCTGCGTGTACCCTGAGGGCTGCGTGTATTTGAACCTTGCCTGCATCATTCAGTGGGGCTGGGGTGGTAGAAGTGAGGAGTGGATAGCGGTCCCAAGCCCTCGGGTCTCACACATGTCAGGATGAGCTTGCCTACAGGAGTCCCTTTTCAGCAATGTATTTAATTCCTATTATTTCCCAGTACTTCTTTAACTTTACCTACCAGCTTATCAATGGATAGATGCGAAACATATAGAAAATAAATCAATTATAAACCATGTGGTTTTAGATAATTAAGTTTTAAATGAAAATATTAGGCCACCCACATCTAGCAATAAGTTAGCAAGGTAACATTGAGTAACAGAAATGAGTTTGAGCTTAGCCATTTTGGCTTAGCCATTTCTTAATCTTGGGCGAATCAGGAACTACAGCACAACACATGATAACGGGCCTCTTGCTTCATTATTTATTGCCAGAAAAGACTACATGTGTTTAAATCTGTACATATAAAAAGATGTTATACAGTATTTCATCTTCCTGGTTTTTTTTTTTGTATGTTGAAAATGCTGTATCACCATTACAATTGATATATTTGTCTGAAAAATTATTTTAAAAGATTTTCAAGTATTACAAGTATTTTAAAAAAACTTTCAAGTATTACAAGTGTTAAACTTTGGATACCTAGGTATTACAAAGCATTTCTTTTTAGAAAATCTTCATTGTTTCTTTATAGAAGAGTGTTTGTATTAGTAATTTTACATTGTATATTCAAATTGCCCAAAATTGGACTTTTCTTTATACCTCAAAAATTTTATTACATTTAATTTAAATAATTTTGCTTGTAACGTCACAAAGTCAGTGTTCGTTGCAGGTCCACGTTCACAATTTAGAACTTCAAATGTTAAAACCCAAAAAGTGATTTCATTCTTCTTCTTTATATAAAAGTGTCCCTACAGTTTTACAACTTGTCCACTAGATGGCAGGATTGCACCATCCTCATGGATGTAGAAAAATCTGTCAGGGAGGGGACAAAAACGTGCTAAAGATGCCGTCCACATTCGCTGGTCTTAGACATAATACTTGTTGAGATAAAAACTGTACTGACGCTTGAATTTTCAAAAAGGAAACATATCAAAGTTGTTTCGTGAATTTACTGTTTTCCTTTGGATTTTGTAATTCATCCTTCAGTTACTTTCAGCATTCAGTGGCTAAGTTAAAGTGAATGAATCTGTTTTACTTTCGCCAAGAGATGCTAGGATGCTGTAGGTAATTTTACATCTGTGTAAAACAAGTGATTTATGCAGAGTGATATATTTTCTCTACAAATTAATTCGTAAAAATTTCTTACAAATTAATTCAGGCAACTTTTTAAGAATGAGTTTGTGGTGCTGTTATTCTTTTATAACAATAAGACTAACATGTATTTTTGATTTTTTTTCAATCAAGGGCCTACTTTTGTTGTTTCTCATGTATTGTCTCATTCAGCCCTCACCTCAGTTCTATCAATTAAGTGGTACTATATTAATCAGATTGTGCAAAAAAAGAAAATAAAGCTCTGAGAAGATAAATAAGCAACTTCTCTAAAATCATATAATAGTAAATGTCAGAGATGGGATTTGAATCCAAATTTCCAAACCCTACAGACTTTTGGAGGAGTGCATTAGATTTAAGATTGTTTTGAACCAATTTGTATTTTACTTGGATTATTTCTTTGTAATGAAATAACTTGTCTAAATCTATACGCTAATCCTCTGTAAGAGACACAACAGAAAAAAATTTAATACTTATTCTGAAATTAGAATTTAGTATTATACCTTGATGCTGTGGTGAGTGGTATCAGTGTCTTTACTGAAAGATGACAAAAATACAAAAGACCTTCTTACAAGATAGGCTATGCACACCTAGGCAGAACTATGGTCCCTCATATAGTTCATGGTGATTTCAGTTTTGCCTGTCAGGTGTGACTCTATTTAATAAGATACTGAGGGGTTCTTAAATGCAGAAGATGCCTGCTAATGGGTTAGATACACTATAGTTCTCCTGTTGTATATGGGGATATTTCACTCTGGAAAGAAAAGAGCAGAATGTGTTAACTTAATAAATATCAGTGGCTCAGAAGTAACTTGAATTTACTTATATTTATTACATGAAAGTAAAATATATCTTCAATAATTTAATAAGCACTCACATTTCCTATATTTTATCAAATTACTTTAAATGGAAAATCTCCTGAATTTTCCTTTAAGGAGAACTTTTATATTTATCTTGACTTGTCTAAAAGAATTAAAAAGCTTTTCTAGATATAGCCTTTATTTCTAGTATCTTTCTTTGCACACTATGTTATATAAATGAATAAATATAAGAATATGTAATGGTTTCTCCAACAGCTTGACACAGTGATTTCTAACTCTTCAGTACTTTCTGGATCAAACTGTTTTAAACTTAAAAAAATTATGTAAAGGTAAATTCCTACATCATGGACTATACAGCAGACCTGGCATGCAAGAAGTAAAGAACCTGAGTGTATGTGTTGAGATAAATTTGGCCAAATGATAGCAAATAATCTCCAAGTCTTAATGGTTTCGTAGTAGAGCTTTTTATTAATCATCAGGCTCCATGAACACTGTGGAAGGTGCTGGGGTTCTATTCTCTGCCTCCTTGGTCTGTTTCCAGTAAGGAGGAAAGTATGAAAAAGAATCTCAGGATTAATATTTTAAATATCTGATGTAAAATATCCCAGTTCTACAACAGGCAAAAGCATTCTGTTGGTCTTGTTGGGTATATGTACCATTTGTTCAAACTCAAAATTAAGGGCAAAGCAAAAGTGGTAATTAGAAGATCTGATTCAATAAATTTTTCTTCTTAATTGTGCAGTCCTTAATGAGAATTTCCAATATGTGACACTGTTCATGGATTTTTGATTGTTAAAATAATGATGGCTGTTTTGGTGTAACTCATTGTCAGTGGAGTTAAAGCAAATATTGTTGTGTACCTAAGGAATCTTTAATGAGAAAAGGAAACCATTAATAGTTTTAAGGAAATCATTCTCCTCAGTTCTTATAAATTTTAACAAGGAATATCACAAATATAACATGTTAAATGTTAGATTACATTTGTTGATAACTGGCATCATTAATTTTACATTAATAGTCCCAATTCATAATATCTTTATTGACTTTTTTGTAGTTTCTAATGATATTTTTCCAGCAATGTCCTTCAAAGTTATATCACATATATGGCACACAACACAAAGTTAAAATTATTTAAATGTGTTTCATTTTATTTATTAGACTTCTGTGTTTTAAATGGAAGGAACTGTGTATTGTAGGTATTCATTAGTTATGGAAATTAATGTAGAAATGAGTGTCTAATAAACATGACTATATTACAACTGCTCATTAATGACTGATGCATGTTAATATAGGTGTAAATTAAGGCTTCCTATGGAATCATTGTGTGGTATACTTATGCACATTTTGACATTTTTATGTTTTATACAAATGTACAGATATTTTTATGATGAATTTAAAATAAAGCCTTTATTTGGTGATACTAAGTCTTACAATTTAGATAGTTAATTAAGTGCCTTAGAATTAAAGATACATACTTAATTGGCCAGGGCCAATTAAGACATTGTTTTAGTAGAAGAATAATTCATTATAAAATTATCACCATTATGGGGTAGCTTCTAGGATCATATCAGTAAAACTGTAATGGACTGGCCATGCAACAAGGGCTAGAAATAGTCAATTATTTGCGGTATTTGCTGGATAAATAAATCATTATAAATGTAAGTTCTTGGTGAAATATTATAGGGTGACATTTTAAAACTCCCATGAGTGCTATTTAGTCCAACCGACTTCATTTCTTATAAGCTTGTAGATTCAGAGGTGCCTTTGAAAAGAGAATTGCATAAAATATTCTACTCAGCTTTTTTCTAGTCTTTGGAATGAGTAATTTTGATTGAGATAGTGTTAAAATTTGTATGTTTGGGGCCAGGGATTTAGCTCAGTGGTTCCGGCGCCCGCCTCGCAAGCGCAAGGTCCTGAGTTCAATCTCTGGTACCAAAAAAAAAAAATTGGATATTTGCAGTACAAAGTTATAAATAGCTTTTCCATAGACTTAAATCAGTTCATTTTTACATGACTTTAAGATCAGTTTAAGTAGAATTGCCAGACCCTATCAGTACTGTTTCTCTTTGTACAGTTAATGTGAGAATCTGCTTCGCACCTAGTTTATTCTCTTTATGACTATTATTATTAAACTTAATATCATCTTCTTATAACAGTAACAATTTACATAATATATATTGAAAACTACATTAGAAATGTACCCGTTTTTAGTCTTTATCAGGGAAATGTTTAAGAAGGGCAGTTGTAAAGGAAATTTAAAGACCCCTTTTTGTAGCTATGTTATTTTAGTCCTGTTTCTGTTGCTAATAACACAATATATGTGGGTAAGTCATAAAGAAAGGAGGTGTGTTTTGGCTTGTGGGT